TATGTAGTAGTTTATTCTAATCCTTTGTTAGAGGGTAATGCATTCTTGACTGGTGGTGTAAAGGTGACATGAAGCCCTAATGACTCGAGTAGTAAATAGGTTTTAAACCTAATATACTAACTAATTGAACCCTCGCCCTCAATGATTCAAGAGAGGTATCTCCTGTATCCTTTAACCATAATCCTTGTTTGGTGATGTATGGTAATATCTCCTGGTGATGGTCATAGCCATGTCATGACCACTGAGAGGGACTTTTAGTCATATGACTGTCTTTCTGCTCCGGCTCCATAAAAAAATTAAATTCACTTCATAAGATTTTGGTAAGATTTTCACCCCAGTAAAACAATAGGCGCACCACAGAATAGTGTACATTGTAGTTGGGTGGCTGGTTTATTAGTTATAAAGCCTGTCATACTGCACGAGTGTAATTAAGCTTGCATATCACAGATGCACCACCAATGAAGGATATTTGAAATTCTGTTCTGGTTCGTTTAAACTTCTTTGAATATGGTTAATGATGAATACTTAAACACCCTTCTCCATCAATTATAAAAAGTAAGTTTAATATGGATCTGTTACGGAATAGTATTTTCCGTATAATAAAAATGAGAGACGAAATATAGCTTGTAACCCGTACGTGCTCCTTGGTCACTCAATGCATCATCTCATCAATCTTTAATTGAACAAAATAAAACTTGTCACTGGCAAATCACTAAACTATTAATGTTATTATGTTCCGAGAGAAGGTAATCAGGTTTGATCTATTGAAGAGATGAGTAGCTTTAATTTCTTGGATCAAGAGCTTTTCATCAAGTTTGAGGTGGTGCTTGAGAGCAACGTCTTGTACCTCATACCCCCACTGGGAATGAGGTACGAAGCTAGATATACGAGACGATAATATACTACACAGACTGACGTGTGTGGTATATATTCTATGCTTGTTCGTGGTGACTGATGTGGAGCCTTGAATATCAAGTGATGCTAATGAGTTTGGTATTTCACAAGTATATCCAGGCTCCACGCACTCTAACCACAACCTCCAGTTAGGTTAAGTTAGGTAGGGTTCGTCAGGAAACAGGACAAGTGTTTCCTGACGCGGATCTTAGATGATGACCCGCCTTTGGAGCTTTGGTCATCTGACCGAGGCCTTCCGCTGGCTTACCGGTCCACCCCTTTAAAAATAAGGGTATAATTATATATCACAACCTCCAGTGCTCGCCCTTTTTTAAAACACTTTCACTTACAGACCAAGATTTGTCCAACAGTTCATCTCAAAGCCTAATCGAATTATGTTACCAATCCTCGTATGCCCTCTAAAACTGCCGACTAAAACCGGGGACCATTTTAGGGGTAATAAACAGGGTGAAGCCCACACACGTAGTAAAAATATGGGCTTGATATTTAAAAACCTCCTAGCATGGGCCAATAACCTACTGGCCCTGCTTGTAAAGGTAAAACTCATTTTAAACCAAAAATACCCCTTATGTACCGTCCAACCTATTTTTAAACCCATAATTTTCATAGCAATGACACACTTCTCTGAAGTAAATTACTATAAAAGAAAGCAGACTGTAACACTTTAATCTTCAAAAATAAAAATAATAATAATAATAATACTAAATCCCTATAAAAATATCAAGGCCCCCCAGTAGAAAAAAGCACTTTACCTTTTTTTTTGGGTTATCTTGGGAATCTACATATAGGGTGGTAAAAATGAAAATTAATATGAAATTTAGTAATAGTACCTTACCAGAACTATTATTATTTTTATTATTATTATTAATTCAAAGAGCTAAGTCCTGTAAGGGGATCCTATAGCTCCTTGAACATTGGAAAACCAGGGTTGACAAAGGGTCGGGGGGGTAACCCCGTTACTTAAATCAAAAAACCTTTCACGACTCAAGGCATTTCCCCAAAGAGGGGGTAAATACTGCAGCCGTGTAAAGGAAACACCGCACACTTGTCGGTACGGTTTTTTTGTTTTTTCCCGACTTCATGACTTGGGATTTGGTGGGATAAACTCAGGAGCCTTTTAAATGTACCAACGCACCCGTCCAATCCCTTTGTAGTTTTTGCCTGATCCTTATCCTTTGAATTCTCATTAACTTCACATCGCTGCAAACAGGGACCTTCTGATCTATGCCTTCCGTCATGTCATTCACAAAACCAGAAAAAAGACCTGTCCTAGGACGACTCCTGTGAACCCCTGCATTATGTTGTTGTACCCCCTAGTTGTACCCCAGTTGGGTTGCAGGGTTGAGTCACACTCCTGGCCCCGCCTCCCCTACGCTTTCCGATCACCTTTTTGCTCCAGAGGTTTATCATACCTCTTCTTAAAACTTTTATGAATCCGCCTCCACTACATCATTCCCAACTATTTACTTCCTGACAACCAGTAACTGAAAAATACGTACTGCTTAACAACCCTGTGATTCATCTGAGCTTCAAATTCTAATTTTGACCCCTTTTTTGCTGGTCCATCTCTGGAACATCCTGTCTCTTTCCCCCTAGTCAATTCCCTCAGTATTTTATGCCGTTATATTTTCACCCATCTCCCTGTCCCTCCGTGTCTTTCCCGGTCTTTTCCCTTTTAACCTTACCGTAGGACATGTCCCTTAGCTCTGGGCTATCTTTTTGCAAACCCTTTGCACTTTCTCTAACGTACTTGGCTAGGTGTGGTTTTCCAAAAATAGTGCGCATACTCCAATATAGGCCCACATACACGGTTACAGGGCCTGAACAATTCCCTATTTAAATTTGGAATGCTTTTCTAGGTTTGTAGGCCCCGAAGCTGCAGGGTTATTTGGGTTTATGTGCGCCTCAGGGGATGTTGCATACAGTTACTATTGCAAAGGACTTGCTGATAGACACTAGGGGCTGTTTTTGTGTGTGGTGTGTGTGTGTGTGTGTTGTGTGTGGTGTGGTGTGGTGTGTGTGTTGTGTGTAAAGTGTTTTTCTTGCTTGTTTTTTAATGTTCACTGTTATCATGTCCCTTTTCCTGTTTTACACTCAATTGCTGTTGTCTTTTAAGTTCAATTTTTTTTTCATTCTGGGACTCAGTGTGACCCGGTAAATTAAATTTTTTTCTTCCCCAGAACTCTGTTTTTTCCAGAACTTTGGTTTTCCCCGGGGCCCTGGGGTGGTGTGTGTGCGCCGCGCGCGTGTGTGTGTGTACCCCAATTGAAATCACCTAATTGTGGTTTCGGGGCAGAAACCCCCCTGGCCCCCCCCTCTTCACTGACGTACTGGGTCCTCCTCTCTCTGCTCCGACTTTTGTCATACCTCTTTTTAAACTATGTATGGCCTTCCCCTGCCTCCACTACTTCACTTCAAAGGCAAATTCCCTTGCGAAAAATCATAAACTGAAAAAAATTTACTTCTTAACGTCCCGGTGACTCGTCGGGAGTCTTCAGCTTCCAGTTGTGACCCCTTGTCCCTGTGCCCCTCTCTGGAAAAACCCAAATCTCGTCCACCTTGTCTATTCCCCCGCAGTACCCTTTTTATTTCTTTTAATCTTGTCTCCCCCTGCCCCCTTCTGCCCCCCATTTGTCGTCAGTCCGATTTCCCTTAAACCCCTTTCTTCGTCCCACTTTCCCTTGACTCGGGGACAAAAGGCCTTTTTTCAAACCCTTTTGGTACTTTCCCAAAACCCTTCTTGACGTGCTTGACAGGTGGGGGGTTTTCCGACTGGTGCTCCCATCTCCAGTAGGGGCCAAAACATACACAGTGAAACATGCTTGAACGATTTCCTTAAAGGGATCGGGAAAGCTATTCTCAGGTTTGGGCCCGGCGCCCGTATGCTGGCGCGGTTATTTGGGTTTATTTTGGGGCCTTCCCGGGGGGATGTGCTCGGTGGTTTTTTGGGCCCCCCCAAAAGGTTTTTTTTCTCCCGGGGGAGGGCTTGTAGCTTGTCCCCCTAGCCATTACTCTGTCCCGCGGTCTTCTTTCCCCCCCCCCAAACTTCAGAAATTTTCAAATTTTGGGTGGGGTTGAATTTGAGAAGGCCGATACTGGACCCCATTCCAGCCCCTTTCCCGGGCTCTTTGCATTCCCGGGCCCCATCCCCGTCCGATTTTAAAATTTTTCTTTATCAACTTCACGTCATCCCCGAACAGGGGCAACTTCAGAGTCTATTCCTTTCCCTTTATGTCGTTCACAAAAATATCAAAAATACACTGGTCCTAGAACTGACCCCTGTGGGGCCCCGCTCAAACAGGCGCCCACGTTTATACCTCTTCCCGTACCTGAAATCGTTCTGCCATCCCCGGGCGGTATTTTCCCCTTTTCCATTGCAGTGGGCCCCTTTCCTTTTTTCGTTCCTGAACCTCCCCGCTTCTGCCCCCTAATCTCTTTGGGGGGGAAAATGGTCCAAAAACCCCTTTCCCGCCGTCTAGAAAATGCAATCTACCCAACCCCCCTTTTCTCTCGTGTCTTAAATTT